TTAGAAGGAAATTCCAACATAATCAAAAAATGATATGAGTTGTGATTACAAACTCCGCCCCAATAAAATTTTATATATGCTTTCAGATGTTATTGGAAGTATTATTATCTTAAAAGACAGTATAGGAAAGCAATTGGAACCTACAAGAAGTTTGAGCTCGACGTCACAATGTTGTGAGAAGTTTATCTAGTCTCCTCTTGACAGATTTTGGTATCCAATTCCACTTCGCGAGTAGTGCATCATCTTCTATATCTGGTTCTTTTGGCAAAGGACCTGCAAATGACAGAAACTACGACAATTGTAGTTTGTTGCTTGAACCATTACACAACTTATTAGATTCATTTACTTAGCAATGAAAAAGAAAGTACCTTTTGAATCTTAATAGGATAGTTAATGTGTAAAGTAACTAACCAATCAGTAGACGACCACCACTATCCCATATTCTATCAAAAACAGAAACTACCCTTTTGTTTATCCTCCATTTGCTACATCCCAGAGTATCAAGAGCCTAGATACGACAAAAAGAACAAATATCTCAATTTTCATGATAGGAACAAACAAAGCAAACAAAATCGCTAGATTTAAGATTGAATTTAATAATTGATTCATGAACTTCAAAAACTGGTTGTAACCATTTTCTAGGGCCTCTTTTCACCGCTTTACGTTGTTTTCTTGCTCCATGTGTCTGCAGCACATATGAAAGCAGATAGAGTTATCCAGCCTTGTTATGAGAGAAAATAAAAAGAAAGCGTACCCTTAACTTTATGTAAGTGAAAGAAAATGTATGGTATTACTATATCTTGCGTCCCTATCCATTTCAATGGAGGTACTAACATTGGCATGTATGGTATCACTATGTGTCTGGCCTGCTAGCGCTACAAAGGTAAACAAACCACTGAGGAATAGTTCTTAAATAAGGAAGTTCAATATTTCAAGCCTAGCTAGTCAACAAAAAAAGTTTTAGATGAGTCATATAGGTCCTAAAGAAAAAACATTACTTACATTTTGTTGAACTCCATTGAAAGCCAGTGCGACACCTTGGATAGTACCATATCTTCTGCACGCACTTCCTGGGAAAAATCCCACGATTATCATCAACTCGTTGTCACAAATAAAAGAATAAAATAAGAAAAGGCATGGACGAAAAGGAAATTAACCAGCACTTTATTTCTTTTGTTGAGTTGTAATGTTGTGTACAAAGATAGGTTGAATGTCAGATGTATTTACCGCTAAGCAATTAGCAGTAGACCATAACTATGTTATCTGCAAAAGCAAGTCAATTAAATGGCTATCAACCTGGAAATGTCAAATTTGAGTAATTCATACAGCACAAAATATTTGATAGGCACAGATATTAAGCAAGCACATGACTTCTTTTGAAATTTCTGAATACAGAGTTGAGTTCGAAGTCTGATTCATGCTTAAAACGGTAAACCATTTCTATTAAGAGCACAATTGACCATGAATTCCATTACATGGGTCGAATGTCAAGGTTTTAACTTAATTCCTTTTTATTGAGAAGAAGTAATCTAAAATGCTTGGAAAACTCCCTTCCTATGAGTCTAACATAAAGAGAGTGGAAAGAACTGGCAAGAATTTAAAACCAAGGCCAAAATTGAAAATCACATGTAACTTAGAATACCTCATCTGCTCACCTTTGTCTTCAACTGCTTACAACTGGGATACATCCAAATTGAATTGATCAGAAAGATTCCAGCTAGTTAACCATCGACAATATTAAAGTTGGCAGAGACTTCCAAACGGCATGTTGCGTGGAGATAGCTAAGCCATGTTTCTAGTAATATATCCAAAAATCAGGAATTTTAAAGAGGATAGAACGCTGAATAAATCGGTGACCACTAATTGACAAAAAGAACAATTGCTTACCTAAACCTCAACTTATAGGATTTTTATGTCAAGTCTACCACTTGATTCTACTTAATCCTACAAATCAGAAAAAATCATAACAGTTGAAGGAGAGATGAAAGAAAGAGGAGAAAATAAAGAGAATAGTGGCAAAACACGGAGATTTAGAAAGAACACGAAGACGTCGGAGGAGGAGGAAAATTAATAGACACGTAAGTACAATTATATTGGCTAATAGGTGAATAGACGCAAATACCCTCAGCTTCAATTTTATTGGCTTGAAGCAGCCAGGACGAAACCCTAGCTCTTCTATAATATACTAATTAGTTATCAATTTATAATAATTTAACAATTTTATTTTAAAGAAAATATGTAGTTTAAATAATATTTAATATTTCTTATATATACATATGTATTAAAGTTTACTTCTACATATTGAAATTAAAAAAGAGTTTATTTAATTTTTTTATAATCAATTTGAATTCTTAAAATTTAAAAATATATTTTGATAGTGAAATTACACTTGTTCAACCAAACATGATGTGTAATTATGTCACGACCCGGATTTTCCACCCTCGGGTGTTTAACCAAAAAATAGAATTTTGACTAAAGCTATAATTTACAAGAACACGAGTTACTGATAATCACAAGAATGTATAAAAGAAAGCACTTTGGATAGCTAGAATGTAATTAAGAAAACTAAGTAAACCCCAGTATATTCAGATAGTGTTTCGTGTCCTTACAATTGATCAATTATCTCCTTTTTATAGTTACTATGGAGATATGCGTTTTGCCTTTGTCATAATGAGGCAATTATGGCAATTAAAGACATTAAATGCTACGTTACACAATCATTATACAAATTCCCTAACGTTTTCAATATTTAATACTCATCAAATATTGTATCTGCACTCTCATATAGTGTCA